ACGCCCTAAGACGGCCAAAGAGACCCCCAGGAAGCCCCCAAAGGCCCCCAAGAGGCCCAAGGAGGCCCCCAAGATGCCTCCAAGAGGCCTCGAAGAGGCCCCCAAGAAGCCCCCAACAGACCCCAAGGGTGCCCCAAGAGACTCCTAACAACCCTCATCCTCCTACTCTATTTCTTCCTCTTCCTCTTCCTGTTCATAATCATTCTCTCCCATGTGTTCCCCGAAAGCTTTCCAAACCGACTCGGGGAACTCATGGTCCGATAGCTTGGCCAAGCTCTAGTCCAACTTTCGGCCACATCGGCGTTTCCAAAAAGGCAGGGGGCGGCGGTGATTCGCCGTAGGCGTCTTCGATCCGCCGCCCCCTTTTGATTTATCAAAGGGGTGCCCGGCGTGCCGGACTATATGGCTATTGATGTTGGTTCTTTTTCCAAAAGAACTCCCCCTGGGGCTTCGGCCCGGCCCGCCGGCCACCCGAAGACCCGGTTGCCAACGGTGTTCCTGCCCCAGACGGCCCCAAGATGGCCCAAGATGGCTTCCAAGACGGCTAAGATGGCCCTAACATGCCTCCAAGACGGCCCAAGATGCACCCAAGACGGCCTAAGATAGCCTGAAGATGGCCCAAGACGGCCCAAGAGGCCCCCAAGAGGCATCCAAGACGGCCCAAGAGGCCTCCAAGAGGTCCTCCAGGAAGGCCCAGAGAGGCCCAAACCACTGATTTGTCTTAGGTTTTTGAAGGATTTTGGCATTCGCGCCTTTTCGGCTTTCCGGCGGCCCCAGGCGGCCCAAGAGGCTCCCAAGATCGCCTCAGAGGCCTCCAAGAGGGCCCCATGACTGCCCAAGTGGCCTCCAAGACGGCCCCAAGAGGGCCCCAAGACGGCCCAAGAGGCCTCCAACACGCCCAAGATGGCTTCCAAGACGCCCAAGATGGCCTCCAAGACGGCCACTAAGCGACCCAAGAGGGCCCCAAGTCGGCCCAGAAATGCCCCCAAGACGGCTCAGACGGCGTCAGACGTGCCAGGAACCCACCAAGATGGCTTGCGCCTTGAAGGCCCCGTCTTTAAACTGTAACCTTTAACCCACCAAGATGGCCCAAATTGGCTCGAAGCTGGCCCAAGACGGCCCAAGAGGCCCCAAAGAGGGCTTCCAGGAAGGCCAGAAGAGGCCAAAAACATTGATGTTCCTAAGGTGTTTGACCGATTTTGGCATTCGCGTCTTTTCAGTTTCCGACGGCCCTAGGCGGCCCAAGAGGCTCCCAAGATCGCCTCAGAGGCCTCCAAGAGGGCCCCATGACTGCCCAAGTGGCCTCCAAGACGGCCCCAAGAGGGCCCCAAGACGGCCCAAGAGGCCTCCAACACGCCCAAGATGGCTTCCAAGACGCCCAAGATGGCCTCCAAGACGGCCACTAAGCGACCCAAGAGGGCCCCAAGTCGTCCCAGAAAGGCCCCCAAGACGGCTCAGACGGCGTCAGACGTGCCAGGAACCCACCAAGATGGCCGACATTGGCTCGAAGCTGGCCCAAGACGGCCCAAGAGGCCCCAAAGAGGGCTTTTAGGAAGGCCAGAAGAGGCCAAAAACATTGATGTTCCTAGGGTTTTTGACCGATTTTGGCATTCGCGCCTTTTCGGTTTCCGACGGCCCTAGGCGGCCCAAGAGGCTCCCAAGATCGCCCCAAGATCGCCTCAGAGGCCTCCAAGAGGGCCCCATGACTGCCCAAGTGGCCTCCAAGACGGACGGCCCCGAAGCGACCCAAGAGGGCCCCAAGTCAGCCCAGAAAGGCCCCCAAGACGGCTCAGACGGCGTCAGACGTGCAAGGAACCCACCAAGATGGCCGAAGTTGGCTCGAAGCTGGCCCAAGACGGCCCAAAAGCATTGATGTTCCTAAGGTTTTTTTACGGATTTTGACATTTGCTTCTTTTCGGCCTTCCGACGGCCCGAGACGGCCCACGAGCTCCCAAAGATCGCCGAAAGATCGCACAAGAGGCCTCCAAGATGGCCCCAGAACGGCCCAAGAGGGCCCCAAGAGGCCCCCAAGACGGCACAGGAGGCCTTTAAGACGCCCAAGATGGCCTCCAAGACGGCCCAGGAGCATTCCAAGAGGGCCCCAAGTCGGCCCAGAAAGGCCCCCCAAACGGCTTCCGACGGCGTCAGACGGACCAGGAGCCCACCAAGACGGCCGAACATGGCCTAAGATGGCCCAAACGGCCCAAGAGGCCTCCAAAAGGGCCTCCAGGAAGGCCCGGAAAGGCCAAAATCTCCCGTGGGTTGTTGAAAGATTGTGGCATTTGCTTTTTGTCTGCCTTCCGACGGCCCGAGACGGCCCAAGCGCCCCCAAAGATTGCCCAAGAGGCCCAAGACACGGCCCCAAGAGGCCCCCAAGACGGCCCAAGAGGTCTCCAAGACGCTCAAGATGGCCTCCAAGACGGCCCAAGAGCCCTCCAAGACGTCCTCCAAGAAGGCCCGAAAGGGTCAAAATGGCCTCCAGACGGCCAAGATGACCTTCACGATGCCCACGTGGTCCCCGAAGGCTTTCCAAACCGATTCGGGGAACAAATGGTCCGATAGCTTGGCAGGTCTGGCCTCAACGTTCGGCCACATAAGCGCTTCCAAAAATGCAGGGGGCGGCGGTGATTCGCCGTAGGCGTCTTCGATCCGCCGCCCCCTGTCGATTCATCGCAGGGGTGCCTGGCGTGTTAGATTATTTCGGTTTTAGTTTTGGTTCTTTTTCCCCAAGAACTCCCCCTGGTGCTTCGGCCCGTCCCGCCGGGGTCCCGGGAGGGAGCTCCAGGCGTGCAAACGACCTCCAAGACGGCCAAGATTGCCCAAGATGGCCTCCAAGATGGTCCAAGATGGCCTCCAAGACCGCCCAAGATGGTCCAAGATGGCCTCCAAGACGGCCTAAGAGAGTCCAGGTAGATCAGATTTTCTGTTGAGACAAAATCATATTATGTATATGACGTCTACACAACTCTCTCTCTATAGATATATATATACACACCTATAAAACACACATGGGCATGTCTATATCTATGTAGATATAAGGTTCTGTACATACATTATGCATGTCTATATGTCTGCATGCATGCATCTATGTATATATATATATATATATATATACATGCTTACACATACACACACAAGCCGTGCAATTTACGTTGTGCACTTTAGGCGGCGACGGGGCGGCGACGGCGAGCACGGAGCCGCCAGACCGACAATCAGGCCCAGACGATGGCCGGCGACGGGGAGGCGACGGCGAGCACGGAGCCGCCAGACCGACAGTCAGGGCCAGTTCCTTAAAAGAGAAGAAGGAACCCCGAAGTGCAAGCACTGTTTAGGGAATCGAAACGAAAACGGCCCACGGAATCGCCAAACACCGTTTAGGTCGAACCCTGCTGGCAATGGCCTGCTCGTTGAGGGCCAGCGCCCAGCACCGCAACAGCGCCAAGTCCTCCGCCGCTAGCGTGGCGTCGTCGTCGTCGTCGTCGTCGTCGTCGTCGTCGTCGTCGTCACAAGGCTTCCGCGATCCTCCACCGCGAGAGTGGCGTGGGCGAACACAGCCTCCACGAGGCGCCTGGGCTCCAGCGCGCGCCACGCGGCCGCTGACGTGTCCCCCAGGACCGACAGCAGCGGGCCGTGGAGCACCTTTCGGGAACCAGACGATGGCGTAAAGATGAACTTTCGGAGGTCCGCGCGGATTTCTCGGATCGGCGCTGACCCCCCTGGCTGCGCCGTAGGCGCCTCCCCTGGCGCGCTCTGCGCGCCAGGGAGGGAGGGGGGTCCAGCGCTGATCCAAGAAATCTGCGCGGACCCCCGAAAGTTGATGCTTGTGTCATCGCTTGCTCCCCGAACCTTGGCGCGAGCCAGCGTCGCCGAGGCCTCGACGAGGCTCTGCAGGACCGCCGGCCGCAGCGACGCCGCCACGCGCGCTGGACCGCCCAGCACCGCGGCGAGCTCGTGGGCACGCAGAGCCCCGCACGGCCCGAGTGGCGCAGGCCTGCCCCTGTCGCGGCCCTCCTGGCGCACGGCGTCGGCCACCGCCCGCGCCGCGGCGGCGACGGCGCCGTGGCGGGCCCCGCCCGGCCTCGCGTCGCGCCCGTTGCCCTCGCCGCGCGCACCTGTGCTGGCGAGCGCCGCCGCGCCCGGCGCCTCCGCCGAGCCGGGGCGCGGCCATGCTCGGCGGCCGGTGGCCGACGCCGCCGACCGGGCGCCGCGCGCGAGGCGGACCCCGCGGGCGCGGAGGCCGCGCCGCATCGGGCGCGGCGGCCGCGGGCAGGCGGCCCCGCTCGGCCCAGAGGGGCCTCGGGCATGCGCGCATGCGTTTCCTCTTACGCGCCAGTGCCAACAGCCAGCGGGCAGCAGAAACAAAGACGGGATGCACGCTTAGCAAGTTTCAATGACTACCACCCTGGTAGCACTCTCAGAGCTGGTGGACTTGGTAGGAGCCCGAGAGAGACCTCTAAGCAGCACCTCCTGGCCATCGCTCGGACGTCCATTCCCTGTTTTTTTTTTGCGGTTTCGTGCGCGGTCTTTCCGCAGGATGATCCAGGATGTTCCTGAATAGTCCCCGCCGAGAAAAAGTGCACACGTCCGAGCGATACCAAGGCACAGGCGGGCGTTGCGCAAACAGGAAGCCATATATGCGCGCACACACAAACACAGACACGCAATCCGCCACCGTGACCCCTGGCCCGTTGATGCGTGGTAACAATGCCGAATGCTATATGGTTGGGTTTCTGCTTTTCTGAAGGACGCCCTGCCCCCTCCCCCTCCTTTGCCAGCACCCAAAGGGCATGCACCACCCCCTCCTCCCGAGGCTCCCTGGGCGCCCCGACGCTTCCCTGGCGCTTGGGAGGAGAAATCTGGAGGAGCAGCAGCAGGGACGAGCATAGAGGAGGCAAGAACATGCGAGAACATAAATAGGAAAGAAATACCAGGACGATGGATGGCGAGAAGGAGGAGGAGGAGGAGGAAGGCCGCTTCTGGGAGCTCTATCCCCCGCACTCGCCCCTTGCGCCGCGCCCCCGCCGCGCGGCCGCCCTTGGAGGAGCCAGCCTCAGCGAGCCGCCGCGCCATCGGCAGCGGGCGGCATGCGCTTCGCCCTGAACACCTTCGTCCACCAGAAAGCGAATGACCACGTGTACATCTTCCTCTGCGTGTGGGAGAACAACCGCGTCTACAACCCTCTCCACCTAGGAACGATCAACACGGATTACAAGCACTTCGACTCATCGCGGTGCACATCGACGAGAATATCATCAAGTCACAAGCTTACGAGACTAACCCACTCTGCCTGGAGATCTACAGGCAACCACGCCGAGACCAAATACGACGAGGACGAGTATCAGGCAGCAGAGACGGTAATGGAGGCTGGTTGAACAGATGCCTAAGCAGCACATCAGGTCCAACCCAATCGTGGAACAGAAATACGTGATCATAGAGGTACCTTCCGATGGCGCAGACGGCCTCCCGAACTAGACCTCCATCCAGTGCTACGATGGCCACCTGGGATGGACTCCAAGACAACGGCTTCCAGAGCTACGACGGTTACGACGGCCACCTGGGCTAAGGCCACGAAGGCTACGAAGGCTACAACGGCCGCCTGGGCCACGGCCACGACAGCCACAGTCGCCTCCAGGACTCTGCAGGGCGTCCACATCCCAGGCGAGGAAGCGCGAGACTGGCTCTGGTTCGTCCCCCCCTACCTCAGACACGGCGCGGCGATTGTGTGGACGACAACTTCGAGCCACTGGCCGAGCTACGAGGGCCCACAGCTGAGCGTCGAGACGCTACCAGTCGAACTACGCGGGCCACCTGCAGGGCTACGACGGCAAGAAGCAGAGCTTCGAGGGCCACCAGCAGAGCTGCGAGTGCCACCAGTTGAACTACGAGGGCCACCAGAAGAGCTACAATGGACAGAAGCAGAGCTTCGAGAGCCACCAGCGCAGCCACGAGGGCCACCAACAGAGCTTCAAGGGCCATCAGCGGAGCTCCGAGAACCTCCCGCAGCGCTACTACGGCAAGAAGCACAGATTCGGCAACTGGCCGCAGAGCTACCAAGGCGACCAGCCGAGCTAAGACGACAGGAAGCAGTGCTTCGAGGGCCACCGCCAGCAGAGCAACGAGGGCCACCAGCGCAGCCACGAGGGCCACAAGCTCAGCTTCGAGGGCCACCAGCAGAGCTTCGCGAACAACCTGCAGAGCTACGAGGGCCGCCAGAAGAGCCATGACGGCAAGAAGCAGAACTCCGAGGGCAGCCAGAAGAGCTACGAGGGCCACCAAAAGAGCTTCGAGGGCAATTCGATGAGCTTCGAGGGCAACCAGCTGAGCTACGAGAGCCACGGGCAGAGCTTCGAGGGCCAGACCCACGGGCGGAGCTTCGACGGCAGGGCTACGCAAGAAGCCGCAGACGGAGCGTCGAGCCACTGGCAGAGGTTCGAGAGCCACCAGCGGAGCTTCGAGAAACTGTCGACCCTGACCCGCCCGACCTCCCGGAGGAGTGGGCTAGCGCGCTGGACACGTCCGGAACAAGGTACTACAGCCTATACGACCACCATTCGTGGAGGGAGAAAGAACCGATGGCGGTGATGATGACGGTGCTGGTGATGTTCCATCGAGTGGGCGACGACGAGTGGTGACAATGCTGCGTGGCGATGTGGTCTCACTGTCGGTCCCACTCGATCGAGCTCACCATCGAGACACCACCAGGGCACGATGAGGCCAAATAAATGCCACCACTACTGTGCTGTGATGGTTGATGCTACGTGTGATGGGTGGCTGCTGATGGCAAAGTGATGGCCGCAGTGATGATGAGTGTGGCGGCCACAGCAAAGAAGTAGTGCTGAATACGATTGGAACACCATCGGAACACGATCAGGCCAAATAAAAGCCACCACCACTGCGCTGAGATGGCAATGTGACGATGCGACACCAACGGGACTCCAATCGGGACACTGACGGAACATCATTCGCTCAATATGACAGTCGATCCCGTGGCCAGTGATGCTGACATCGAAAACCGTTTGGCGTATCGGGTTCTCTGCGATCCGCCCCCCCAAGCCTCACTATTGACACCACCAAAACACCATCGAGACACCATCGAAGCACCACCAGGACACCATTAAAACACCCATTGGGACACCAATCGGGACACCATCGGAGCACCACTCCGGGCACCGATCGGGACACCACCAGGACATCACCGAGACACTATCGAAACGACACCACGACACCATAAGGACACCAATCGGGACACCAATCGGGACACCAATCGGGGCACCACTCAGGACACCATCAAGTCACCATCGATCTCACGATTGATCTCAATATCGATATCAATATTGGTGCCGCTATCGGTCTCACTCGATCGCTCTCACCATCGCTCTCCCTCGATCGATCTCCTTTTTATATCACTCAAAATATCACTGATGATCCCGCTCCCGCTATCGATATCACTATCGGTATCACTATCGATCTCAGCGCGGAACAAAACGGGACACCGACAGGACTCCAACGGGACACCGAAGGGACACCCACGGGACACTCGCAGGACACCGACGGGACACAGCAGGAGACGATCGGCACACGATCGGGAAACCAATCGATCGCACTTTCGATCCCCCTATCGATCTCACTCGCTCTATATAACTATCGATTTCACTCGATCGATCTCACTATCGATAACACTCGATCGATCTCACTACCGATATGACTATCGTTGTCACTACCGATCTCGATATCGACCTCACTATCGGTCTGACGGTCGATCTCAACATCGATCTCACCACGGGACACCACAGGACACCGACGGAACTCTCGCGGGACACTGACGGGACACCGACGGGACACCACGGGACACCATCGGGGCACCACTCGAACTCACGTTCGATCTCGATCTCACCATGAGTCTTATTATCGATATCGCTCGCTCGATCTCACTATCGAACTCATTCCCGGCTTCACGATCGACCTCGCCATCGGTCTCACCACGGGACACCGACGGGACACTGACAAGACACTGACGGGACACCCGGGCAGCCAGGATGATGCCGATGTCAACCTTGGTCGAAGCCGAGGTCGGTGAAACTGGTACATTGGCTTGAACTGTTCTGTTCGGGTGGTGCGATGATGCGCTCACAAGACCAGCCAGCACAATCGCACACGTACCGAGACACGGCGCTAGCCCAGGATGGAGCCTCGCACCCGTGCCCGACGCGAAGCTGCGGCCAGTGCCTGTGGGGTTGCAATGGGTCGAGGAACGTCGTGGCGCTCCTGTGAGCGAGCCGTTCCTCATCGCGGTTGCGCCTTTTGCTATTGCCCTCGCACGCGGACCGGATGACCAAAGCGAGTTGCCAGTTGGTTTGCGCAACAGCCATAAGCACAGGCAACTCAGGGAGCGGAAGATGGTATCAATGCGGAGGTGAAGGTAAACGCAAATTTGCGTCCACACCGCACTCTTCGCACGTTCCGTGGATGGCAAACTGGGCTCGCTCCAAGCTCCACTACCAACTAGAATTACGGGGGGGGGAAGCTGCACGAGAGAAATAATGACGCCAATAAGATGTACGTTGCGGGGCTCTGATTTTCATACAGTAAGTAGATCTGCGTCGACCTTGTAGATTTGAGTGAGGAGGAGGAGGAGGAGGAGGAGGAGGAGGAGGAGGAGGAGGAGGCAGAAGAAGAGGTACCGACCCCTCAGGCGGCGAAGGCCGCCTGGGGAGAGTGAGGGCACTCCGAAACCTGCAGTGGCAACTAGAGAGAGCCGCGCCCGGCCGATTTCGCCGCGCCCTCGCCGGCAACCTGCGCAGGCGGCCGCCCCACCTGCTGGCATGACAGAAGCGGGTCCCGAAGGAAACGGGTGCTGGACCAAGGGCCTTCCCCCAAGGCCAGGTGTTCATCCTGAGCTGTATTTTCTGGCAGTCCCGGGGCCCGTGGAGGGGCCCGAGAAGCGGAAACGCGGCGACAAGCCTCAGGACCCGTGTCTCGAGGACCTCCGACAGCCGACAGTTTCTGCTTACGTTTTTTGTTGCCCGAGTTTCCCATTTGACCCCGGGGCCCCTTTTCCTTCATGGCGAGCCTGGCGCTCCAAGCGCGGCGCGGGCTCCCGGTGGCCTGGCGCCTCCGCCCTCCGCCAGCGCAGGCGGCGAAGCGTCACCGAGACGCGGCGGCCGGGCGGCAGCGGCGACCCGTCCTGCGGGCGTTCGTGAGGGGGGGGCTGTAAAGGGAAGGAGCCCAAAAAGGTTCCGACCAGCGCCCCGAGAGGCCGAAACACGGCGACAAGCCTCAGGAGCACGTTCATGCGGGCATGAATTAAACCTATAATCTGTCGGAGGTCCGCGCGGATTTCTTGGATCGGCGCTGGACCCCCACTCAGGCGCGCGAAGCGCGCCAGGGGAGGCGCCAGAGGAGCCGCCAGGGGGCTCCAGCGCCGATCCAAGAAATCTGCGCGGACCTCCGACAGTTTGTGTTTGTATTTCTGTTTCTCGAGATTCCCTTAGGGCCGTGGTCGGCGACCGACCCGTCCTGGGATGACCTCAGGGGCCCTAACAGAAACCCTTTCGGGCTCCCGCAGAGGCCTTGCGGACCGCGGGAATGGGGCGAGAGGGGATCGGGCGAACATGTGTTTTTCCATCCTGGGGAGTACGGTGTGCATGGCGGCGCCACTTCAAGGTCACGCCTGTGGGGAGGGGGGATCGGGATATATGGTGAGCATCCCCTGCCGCGCGCTTGCTCGCGCCGCGTGCCCGCGCCGCGCCGGGTGAAGAAAGGGACCCTAAAAGGGGCCCTCGAAAGGCCCTGCAGGGCCCCCAAAGGGGGTCCGAAAGGGCTCCTTTGGAGCCCCGTTCTTCCCCCCCCTTTGGGTCCCCCTTTAGGTCCCCCCCCCTCATTGACGATCACCCCCTTTACGTAGGTCACCCGTTTGGGTCACCCCTTTCTTCCCCCGCTGCAGGTCACCTCCCTTTAGGGTCCCTTTCCTCAACCTCCCTTTAGGACCCGCCGTCAGGTGGTCACCCTCCCTTAACGACCGCCCGAGTCCTGCGGGCTCCAGTGCGGCCCAGCTTCGATGCCGTGGCGCCAGCGCCAGCGCGCCTCTCCTCGAGGCCTCCCAACTGGGGTTCCAGCCGATGGGGTCAAAGGATCGCGCCGCCTGGAGAAAATCTGGCTCCGCATCGGTGATGCATCGCAGGACCTTGCATGGGCGACGTCGGCGTGAAGAAAATCGGGCTCCGCATCGAGCCGCATCGCCGACGCATCGGCGATGCGGCGCGATCCTCCGGCCCCAGCCGCTCTGACCCCTACAGGAGGGTTAGGTCTCCCGACAGCACGTACGCCGAGCCGCCCTCCAGGAGCACCGAGCGCCGCGGGCACTCTGCGAGCCTACGCGCGTCGACGGGCTCGAGGTCCATCACCGCGGCGGCTCCGAGGCTGAAGCCGACGATGACGTCGTCGAAGGTGGCCCGGTCCACGTGCATCGGTATCAGAAGGACAAAGAAAAGCATAAACATAATCATTCGGGGGTCCGCGCGGACTCCTCGGATCGGCGCTGGGCCCCCTTGGCGGCGCCTCCGGCGCCGCCCCTGGCGCGCTCCGCTCCGAGAAAGCCACACGGACCTCCGAAAGTTAATGTTCATGTCACTGTTCGCTCCCCGAGGTTAGGGCGACGGGGTCGATACACATCCCCCGCCGCTGGCCAGGCGCATCCTGAGCCCAGGAGCGGTGCATATGCCAACCTGGCCAAGCCAAAGGGGCCCAGGGTGGCCCGGCCAGCGGCGGTGAATATGCACACATCTCGTCGCCCCTGAGGTATGCCCTGCCCTGCATCGGCGTAGTTGTTCACGATGGCCTGGTCGAACGCGTACCCGCTGGGCACGAGGCCACCGCCCTGCTGGAGGGGAAGAAAACGGAGACCATGACCAAGGCTGAACGCGGAAACGTCGTTTCGACCTTGGTCACCGTCCATCCTGATCAGCGTCAATTCGTGGATCATCTTCGCGAGTGAGCGACGGTCGACGTGGACCATGGCCGATACTGTCACTGGCAAGATCCCGCGACATCTTGGTCATGGTCCCCGAGGGTACAGAAAGCAACTCACAGAAGCTGTTGGTAATCCCCCCCATGGCGCACCAAATAGCACGCCCAATCGCACGCAAAGCAGACATACTGCATCTCCCTCACATGGCGCTGTTGGTCGGGCGCTAGTTGGGCGCTGTTTGAGTGCAATCCGGCGCGGTTGGGCACTATTGGAGCGCCATTCGCCGATTTACATTGAAATTCAATCAAGGCGAGCGGAACCTGCCATGTGCTTTACTGCCTGCGTGTTCCTCCCCCCTCTGACCTGCAGCCGCGCGAGCGCCCCCGCGCAGGCCTCCAGCACGGAGAGCGGCGGCGCGGGTCCGCGCGCCACAGGGGGCTGCGGCGGGCACGCCTCGAAACCATGGCTTTGGACGCCCGAAATGGGTACGGAAAAAATGGGTACAATGCCCAACAACAAATGTTGTCCCAAACCAACGGCGGCCGCTGTTGGGCAGGCGGCCTTCTGTCTCGAATGGACACAGGCCGCGGCGGCGTGGACAGCGAATCCTGTTCAAAATGAAGAAGAACTGCTGTTGGGCATTGTACCCACTCTTTTGGTACCTATTTCGAGCGTCCAGAATGGCGGTGCACGCCGGGGTGCGTCACGACCGGCCGGCCGCTGCTCGGCCGCGCGTCGCCCAGCGCCGCGCCAGCGCCGGCCTCCGCGGCCTCCAGCAGCAGCGCCGCCTCCTCTCAGCGGACGTACAGGGCAGTCTCTAATACATCGGATTTTTCGAATATGGGATTTTTGATACATGATTAATTGTGAATGAACTTATGCATGAACTCATCGTTGTTGTTACTACTAAATCCCTGCATTTTTTTATACATGATCCGCACACGGAGCATGTATTATAAACGGCACTGTAGAAAGGTGTCCACGGGGCGGCAGGAAAGTTTATCATACCCTCACGGTGGCACGTCGGGGCATCGACTCTCCAGCCGCCCTGGGGCAGGCGCCCCCAGCCAAGGTTTGGTTATACCACTATGAGTCCCCTCGGATCTGACGCTGCAGAACATTGCAACATCGCAGAGGATCACCACCCGAGCCCCAGACCCCATCTGTCTGCGTCATTTCTCGAGCCGGGTCAATCCGCGAGTGTCCAGACACCCGACATCGGGGGAAGACGCCCGGCTTGAAACAGATTGCAACGCCCAAATCTGAGGGTCGGCCACTCCTCGGCGCCCAGGAAGGCCGGCAGGTACACGAAGCCGTCGACCGGCGACGTGGCCCCCCGAAGCAGGGCGCGGCCCTGGGGCGCTGCACCCACGATCCCCTCGGCGCCAGCCGCCTCGCGAGCCGCCCGCCCCGTGGCCCGCGGCTCCTCCTCTTTAGCATGAAGGAAGCGGGTCCTGCGGGGGACTGGTCCTGGATCCCAGGGCATTCCTGGAAAAAGGCCAAACAGCACCAACATAGACTTAGGAGCTCCGCACTGGTTTCTTGGATCGGCGCTGGGCCCCCCTAGCGGCGCCTCCGGCGCCGCCCCTCGCGCGCTCCGCGCGCCAGGGAGGGGGGTCCAGCGACGCTCTAAGAAATCTTCGCGGACCTCCGCGGAAAAGTGTTTACGCACTTTGTCGCTCCTCCATGGACCTCAAGGTCTTCTCCCAGAACCAGGTCTTCATCCTGAGTCGTATTCTGACAGTCCTGTGGCCTGCCGAGGTCCCCGAGAGGCCAACAACAAAACGACAACCCGCTTCCCGTAGGAAGAACGAGGAGGAGGAGGAGGAGGAGGAGGAGGAGGAGGAGGAGGAGGAGGAGGAGGAGGAGGAGGAGGAGGAGGAGGAGGAGGAGGAGGACGAGGAGGAGCAGGGGTGACGAGGAGAAGGAGGACGAGGCGGCGGAGGACCCGTTTCCTTCACGGCGATCCTCTTCGGGAGCCTCCAGCGCGTGCTGGCCCTCTGGTGCCGCGCCGCGCGCAACGCTGGGCTGCCTTTCCGCCAACATCGCCGCGCTCGCGCGGGCGCCTGCCAGCGGCACCGCGAAGGAAACGGCCAGTCACCAGCATGGCACGGGCAGCCTGCCCTCCAAATACACGCCCTTGCCCTCCACCTCCTCCTCCTCCTCCTCCTCCTCCTCCTCCTCCTCCTCCTCCTCCTCCTCCTCCTCCTCCTCCTCCTACGACCACCGAGCAAGTCTGTCTCTCGCTCTACCTACAGGCCACACCCCTGACCTCCGCCACGAGCGCGGCGAACCGGTAGGGCACCGTGACGAACCGGTAGTCCTCCTTCGCCTCCTGGCCCAGCGCCCAGCTCGCTAGCCGGCCAGCTCGGCCGCCAGCGCGGCGCGGGCCGCGAGCTCCCGCTCCTGGCCGAGGGAGCTGCGCAGCTGACGCGCCGTGGCGCGGTGCAGTGCGCAGCTGAGCTCGGCGCCCCAGCGGCGCGCCAGCGCGCTCGCGGCCGCTTCAGCCTCGGGGCCGTCGCCGAGGCCCTGCGCGCGGTCCCGCGCCAGCCAGCGCAGGTGGCGCAGCGCCGCTCTGCCCAGCCTCTCGGCCGTCTCGTGGGCCAGCGGGAGCAGCGGCCAAGGGGCGCGCCGCTCTGGGTAGCGGCGGCGTTTGTCCGCTTCCCCTTCTGCGGCCACTGCGCCGTCGGCGCCCGCGGCCGCCGCCAGGGCGCGCGCGTCCCCCGGGACGCTGTAACGGACGGTCACGTCCGCCAGCATCCGCGGGCAGTCGCCGCGCTGCGCCTCGAGGTCCAGGAGCGCCTCCTCGCGCTCGGTCGCGAGCGCCGCGCCGCAGGCGCTGCAGGGGCCGCTCGGCGGGGCGTCCGCGAAGCCGCGCGCGGCGCAGCCAAGCGCCGTGCAGCGCCAGCGTCAGCGGTCCCAAGCGGGCACGGGGACTTGCCGGGCCGTGCGGAAACCGCACTCCTGGTGAATGCGGCCCCACACGTCCTCGACATCCCGGCTGCGCGCCTTGGTGCCGCCCCCGCAGGCGCAGCGGAAGGCGTGCCGCGCCTTGCGGCAGATCGGCTGGGCGCAAGCCTGCCCCGCCCGGTGCGCAGGCGGTTGCAGCAGCTGGCCCCAGCAGGCGCGCAGTCCTGGCCCAGCAGCGCCCGGGCCGTGGCGCAGTAGTCTGGGTCCTCCAGCCGCTGGCCAGGCCCTCCGCTCGCCAGCTGCCAGGCGCCCGCGCGAGGCTCTGCGCCCAGGAAGCCGCCCAAGCCGCAGGCGCGAGCTCCTCTTGGCTCCGGAAGCCCCGGCCGCCCAGCCGGAGTGGCAGGCGGCAGCGTGCGCGCTGCTCGAGCGTCAGCGGGTCAAGCCGCGCCAGTCCCTTGTAAGCCTCCAGCAGCGCGTCGTCGTAGGCGGCCGCGGCGGCCCGGCTGTGCGCTGGCGGGTTGGCGCGCAGCAGGTGCGTCAGCTTGCCCGTGCCGCAGTGCCGGAGGAGGAGCCCGGCCGCTTGGGTCGCCGGGAGGTGCGGCGAAGCCAGCGTCGGCAGCTGGGCCAGCTTCTGCAGCAGCGCGGCGGCTCTGTCGGCGGTCTCCAAGCAGCGCGCCGCGGCGTAGTCGGCGCTGCCCAAGTCCAGCCGTCGCCCGTCGCTCTCGTCGGGGAGGTTGCCCGGCGGCAGCGGCCCCCCCAGCGGGGCGCCCAGGAGCGTCACGCCGTCGGCGCGCCAGCGCTCTTCCAGTCCTGGCGGGCAAGGCGAGCGCGCAGACCAGGCCTGCGTTTTCCGTCGTTGCAGCTCCAGCCCCAGGCGCCCCAGCGTGGCCTCCGCAGTCGTCTCCACCTCGCCTGCTAGGGGCGGGGGGACGAGCACAACGACGTCGTCCAGGTACGCCAGGACCCAGACGTCTTCTGCTCGCAGGCCGCAGGCAGCCGCCCTGGCCCTCAGAGCGTTCTCCAGCTCGCGCAAAGGGCAGCGGAGGCCGCAGGCGAAGAGGAGGGGCGCCAGTGGGTCCCCCTGGTCTACGCCGCCCGCAGAGCCCAGGCGGTGGCAGTCCCCCCCCGAGTCCCAGAAGTAATACTGGGAGCGGCGCCGGCAGAAGAGGTTCGCAAAAGGGAGGAGCTCTGGCGCCGCCTCCTCCAGCTCGGCCAGGCAGGCCTCTCTGCGCGCGGTCCCGTAGGCGTTCTTCTGGTCTAGCGCCACCAAGACCAGGTCGGGGCTGGCCTCGGTGAGCGCCCGCGCCGTGTGCGCCAGCAGCTCGGTGCCTGCCTTGGTGCCAATTGCAAATTGGCGCCGGCCGAGCGCGGCCGCGAGTTCTTCCTCCTCCTCCTCCTCCTCCTCCTCCTCCTCCTCCTCCTCCTCCTCCTCCAAGGCACCCCCCGAGTCGAATCGACAAGTCGGATCGGCGATCGAAATGAACAAGATCGGCGGAAATCGGCAGGCTGGTGGGCCACCATTGAGAAATCGGAGCCCAAATCGGCATCCGAAGTCGAATCCAATCGGAATCGCAAGCCATCGAATCGAATCGAATCGGAGGAATCGAAATGAGCCCTGCCTCCTCCTCCTCCTCCTTCTCCTCCTCCTCGTCCTCACCACCCTCCTCCTCCTCCTCCTCCTCCTCCTCCCCCTCCTCCTCCTCCTCCTCCTCCTCCTCCTCCTCCTTCCCTCCTCCTCCTCCTCACCCTCCCCATCCCTCCTCCTCCTCCTCCTCCTCCTCCTCCTCCTCCTCCTCCTCCTCCTCCAACCCCTCCTCCTCCTCCTCCTCCTCCTCCTCCTCCTCCTCCACCTCCTCCTCCCAAGGCACACCCGTGCCCACCTCCTCCTCACCCTCATCCTTCTCCTCCCTCCTCCTCCTTCTCCTCCTCCTGACCCTCCTCCTGGGCACACCTTTGCCCACATCCTTCTCACCCTCCTCCTCTTCCTCCTCCGTCCGTTTGCCTTATGACGAGCTTGTCCCTGTCGCACCCCCAGGCGTGTTGGTAGGGCTCCTGAAGCTTAAAACATGCAACAGCTTCAACTACGGAGCGCGGGTGTTTTTCGGAATGTGGTTATCGCCTGAACGCTACGCGCATTCGTCTTTAAAGTTTGATTCTGTTTTAAGGATGGAGGGCGGGTGGTTTGTATGTGTGTTATCGATTTAACGCTGCGCAAATTCGTCTCGCAAATTTGAACCACCTACCAGGACGGAGGGCGGGCCTTGTGCCGTCTCTGGGCGTCGGGCAACGGAGCAGGCGACCACGCGAAAATCACTTAAAACAACAATAGGGGAGCCCCTCTCGGGGATAAGCTTGAAGCCCTCTTGGTGCGCCTCGGCGGCTGCCCAAGCCCGCATCGAAGCAATGGTCGGCGTGTTGGGGCCGGTTGGGAGCCCTGCGGGCCTCGTTGAGGGCCCTTGCAATGTGTCTGAGCTCATTCGGGGGGCCGCCTGGAGCCCTCTGGGGCGATTTGGGGCGCCTCTTGGGCCGTCTTCGCGCCCTCTTCAAGTGTCTTGGGACCCTCCTGGGCGCCTCTTGTGCCGTCTCTGGGCGTCGGGCAGCGGAGCAGGCGAACGCGCGAAAATCCTTGGAAAACCTGGCGGAAATCAGTGAGTTTCGCCCCTGGAGCCTCTCCCGAGGATCAGCTGGAAGATCTCTTGGGGTGTCGTGGAGGCCACGTGAGCCGTTTCGAAGCAATGGTCGGCGTCCTGGGAGCGCTATGGTGCTGTCTGGCCCGCTTGAGAGCTCCTTGTAATGCCCTCCGGGCCCTTTGAAGGGCCCTGGAGGGTCTTTTGGAGCGCTGAGGCCAGCCGGGTCCCCCATGCCAGCTGGAGGCACATATGTTTGCCCCCCAGAGCCTTTGTTGTATGTCTTTCTGTATTTCTTTATTTGTGTCTTTCTTTATTTCATCATTTATTTATTTATTCCCTATCTAGGCTCTGACTAGAAGGGTTCTTACTCTCTTAGCTTAAAGGGGCCGGGCAGTGGAAATCGCCCCGGGCGGTTCCCCCAGTCCCCGCCCCGCGGTTCCCCCTAGTCCCCTGGGAGCTTTAGCTTTAGCTTTAGCTTTAGCTTAGCTTTAGCTTAGCTTTAGCTTAGCTGTAGCTTAGCTTTAGCTTAGCGTTTCGCTTAGCTTTTCGCTTAGCGTTTAGCTTAGATTTAGCTTAGCTTTAGCTTAGCTTTAACTGAGCTGTAGCTTAGCTGTAGCTTCGCTTTAGCTTAGCTTTCGCTTAGCTTTAGCTTAGCTTCAGTTTAGCTGTAGCTTAGCTTTATATTAGCTTTAGCTCAGCTTCAGCTTAGCTTTAGCTTAGCTTTAGCTTAGCTTTAGCTTAGCTTTAGCTTAGCTGTGGCTTAGCTTTAGTTTAGCTTTAGCTTAGCGTTACTGTTACTACTAATGCTGCTTTCCTAGGGGTTCCAACTCCTAGGTAGGGTCGCACTGTGATAATTATGTGTTTCTCTCTCCCTCTCTCTATCATACGCACACATATACATACATACATATATATACATATACATATACACATGCATATCTATACATACATATACATATGTATTACACACATGCGCACACGCGCGCACACACAAGCACACACACACATCTATGTATGTATACATATATATGTACTAGAACCATCGCGCGCGCTTCGCGCGCGCTCAAGTTCTAGCTAGGATAATCGTCATCGTCATCATCGCCATCCTCATCACCATCATATCCGGCGTCATCGTCAGCGGCATCGTCATCATCACCATGACCATCACCAGCATCACAATCGTCACCATCACCACCATCAGCAGCAACATCGTCATCACCATCGTCATCATCGCCATCGTCGTCATCATCGTCAATATCGTCACCTGAATTATCAACATAATCATCCTCATCATCGCCATCGTCATCATTATCGTCGTCGTCGTCGTCATCGTCGTCATCGTTATCGTCATCATCATCGTCATCATCTTCATCATCCGCCCACTCCTGCATCACAAGCACCATAAACAGCATAGCTACCATAATTATCAGCATCGGCGTTATCATCCTGACCATCAGCAGCATCATCATAATGATCGTCAGCATCACCACCATCATCATCATCACC